AGTTATGTAACATCCGCCGCACTATAGCTTTAACAATATATTGACAAACAATATTATTTCTTAACATAATTAACTGCAGTTATCTAATAAATTGGAACAAATTTGTATATAAATGTGTATTGTCCAAACAATTTGGTTACTGATAGCGAACTTTTCATATTGTGCGATTTTTTGGGAAATAATCAATTTAGTCATATCGACTGACCTAAATATCGAGTTGTGGAACATTTAATGTACAGTATAGAAATAGACACCGCTATACCGATATGATTGAATATAATATATTTCTTAACTTGATTAACTGTGATATCCAAATAAAATGGATTAAACTGCTATATTTATGTGCATTGTCCTAACAAATGTATATGGCGTTAATGAACTACTTTTTATGAAGAATAGATTAAAAACTTAAGGGGCATAAACTTGTCTAAAGCGAAATACAAGATTAGCCACCCGGTAAAGTGCTCTTTAGTCTAAAGATGTATGTTTTACTTATGTATTTTCTCATTCCCAGATCTTGCCATCAATGACAAGATATGAGGAGGAACAATTAGGTAACAAAAGTTTCGCTTGTAAAATAACATCTAGATATACATATATTTGAGCTGTAAAAATTATATTATTTAGGATATATCACACATTTACATGACTGACATAAAAGAAATATCACATATTCATATGACTAACAAATATTGACCAAATATTGACCAATTGACTTAGAACAATGCTATAATAAGAGAAAACATACGCTGTAGTACTATAAGTCTAGCATTAATTCTATAAATTTAAACATATTTGGAGTTCTCCAGTAACAAATTGGAATATATTGTGTTCTTAATTGAGAGTACATTCTACATTGTAATACAGAATGGAATTCATCTTCTAACACATTGCAGAATGTGCATTTGCGTTCATTTATAGGTACACTGACAGGTCTTGTCCATCTTCCTGTTTACATTTTTACATAATCTATGCGAGGAGCATAGCAGTTTTGTCATACTAGTACAGAATTTTCTTACACCTATACATTTTAAATATGGCTGTAGTTGTAATTGTGCAATACATCTGTAAAATAAAGCTCTAGATGAATCATTTAGTCTACCAGTCCAATTTTTGTCAAGGACATGAATTGATCTTTAATTCTTTGTTTAACTAAACTAAGAAATACATTTGAGTTTCCGACATTTTGATAAAACCATGCATCGTAACTACATTGTAGATTTATGTGTCGTATTGACCATCAGTATCCATGGGCACCTCAAGACAGACACTACAAGAATACAATGCCACGAACACGTGTTATATTCATTTCGGCATTAATCTGCCATTTATTACATTATTATTTTATTATGTATTCTATATTTCATAATTCACGGGAAGTAACTCGGTTTTTTGTTCCATATCATTTTGAATGAATTATCGACCTGACATGATTTGGCATATTGCAAAAAATAAAGACCGCATCAGTAGACTGGCCTGTAAAACAACGATACATTTTATGCAATTTAATGCAAAAATTGATCGTGATCATTTGATTTTGGATATACATGGCCTAATGGCTCATTGCTAGATTCGTATTCTTAAAACAGTCAAGGTTCATGCTTATGCTTTAATCTTGCAAGTATGCTATAGAAAAGCTTAACTTTACTTTAAATCAATGCTTTTTTTTTAATTTAGAGACCATAACTTTAAAACCACATTCGTTAAGAGTTGTGTTATTTCATTTCTTTTTATTAATTGAATGATAGTTGTTCTTTGGCACGATTTCATGTTACATGATTAGGTTATATAGTTTAACTGATTCAGATATGTATATTTTGTAGGACTTGTTTGCATTTGCAAGTCAGTAAACCCAGTATGAATGAAAGGGACAATCAGAACAGTTCTTTATTCATCATTATCAATACTGGTTTTAAAAACATAACTTGTAAGAAATCCATTTTAAAGCCTTATGTTAAAGTCACATATATATAAACAAACAGCACATTGAAATTATTCAAAAGAAATTATTCATTGTTAGTCACTGCACAATTCTTACTGCATTTAGAAAAATTACTCATCACATACTAGACACCGCAATATGAACATTGCCTCTTGCACCGCTGAAGTAATAATAAACAATGAATACTAATCACGGCACTATAAAGATTACATACATCACTATGACCGTTTAATACCTTCTGAATACTACTTACACTACTAGGAATACCACCCAGCGCATACTTCTCGCGCCACTAGGAACATATCCCACTGCATACTCCTCACGCCACTAGGAATATCACCCAACGCATACTTCTCACGCAGGTGGAACATTACCCGTAATATGCATCTCACGTCAGGAACATTATCTACTATATGTATCTCACGTCACTAGAAACATTACCCACTTTATGCATCTCGCGCCACAATGAACATTACCCACTATATGCATCTCGCGCCACAAGGAACATTACCCACTATATGCATCTCGCGCCACAAGGAACATTGCCCACTATATATGCATCTCGCGCCACAAGGAACATTACCCACTATATGCATGTCGCTCCACAAGGAACATTGCCCCACTATATATGCTCTCGCGCCACAAAGGAACATTACCCACTTTATGCATTCGCCCCACAACGGCAATTACCCACTTTATGCATCTCACGTCACTAGAAACATTACCCACTATATGTATCTCACGTCACTAGGAACATTACCCACTATATGCATCTCACGCCACAAGGAACATTACCAACTATTTATGCATGTCGCTCCACAAAGAACAGTACCCACTATATGCATCTCACGTCACTAGGAACATTACCCACTATATGCATCTCACGCCACAAGGAACATTACCAACTATATGCATGTCGCTCCACAAAGAACATTACCTACTATATGCATCTCACGCCACTAGGAACAGTACCCACTATATGCATCTCACGACGCTAGGAACATTACCCACTATATGCATCTTACGTCACTAGGAACATTTAGCCCACTATATGCATCTCGCGCCACAAGGAACAGTACCCACCAATATGCATCTCACGACGCTAGGAACATTACCGACTATATTCATCTCACGTCACTAGGAACATTACCCATTATGTGCATCTCACGGCACTGGGACTTCTCATACCACTTGGAAAATATCCCACTGCATACGTCTCACGCCACTGGGAACATTACCCAACGCATACTAGTAGTGAGAAAACCAGAGTGCACAGAACGTCCCAGGACGTTAAAAGGCACGGATTGTGCAAAATACGTCCCACTTAAAAGGGAGGTAAAACATACCCAAGACATTATGGTACATGATAAGAACATCTGGTTGTAAAATACGTTCCATAAAAGCATTGATACGTTAAACTAACTGGAACGTGAAAGAACATCGAAGACGCTGGGAACATAAACATCACAGATGTGAGGTTTACCATGACAAACTTTATGGTTTTAATGAAACATCACCTGGAGAATTATATGAAACATTGAGAGTAATTTAATGACCATCATCTGAAACATAATTCTAAAATAATTGTCTGATAATGTTACATGCCACATTATAAATGATCAATTTTTAGGACTCATTTAACCCTTAGTATGATTAAAACAACTCAACACACAAATATGTTTTTAATATTATTTATTTAACATATATATAAAAAAATAAGAACAAAATCATCTTTAGAAATCGTGATTGTTACAAATGAGCCAAATACAATTTTAACCAGTTTATTTCAAGAGCAATCAATGCACAACCATATCAAATAGTTATTTAGTCACCAGCACTATTTGTTAATTGATAACAGAAGATATCTGTATGAAAAAAAATACTTATTACTAGAATCAGAAAATATTAAGGAATGTTAAAATACTTAAGTAATATATATTTGATAACACATACTATCAAAATCATATAACAATACTGGGAATGTACATGTAATTTGTAATAATCAAAACATATAGCGATGTCAACTTATTGATTTTAACCCACGTATATCTTGATGAAGGAAAAGAAGAGACGAAAACACTATTTTATGGTTCATTTAAGATACATTACATAGTTACCTATAAATTTTGAACATCTTTATTTATATCCAGAACTTTTTATTGTTTTAACTACAACCACCGAGTTTACTGTTAGGTAAATGTTCAAATAATATCTACCATTGCCTCAACTAAAAAAAATTACTAACCTATTATCTTTATGAAAACAAGTCTTTACATGTTAATACTTTAATTGGGGAATGTCTTTAAGAATAAAAGAACATGTATTACCAGTTTTATATTAGAGATGATTATTGCTTTATAACAATTGTCATTTGAAAAAAAAATCATAGTGAATTTTACATTGTTTGAGAGCCCACATTTTTTTGATAAGCAAAATGTCTCAAAAGGATTATTTAAATCAAACTAAAGAAATTTTCCAAGACATGCTTGCAGATAGCGAATTGTAACTTGACATGCATATGAACATAGCACAAAATTAGAGAATGAAGTGTTTGCCTTAACTAAGGCTTTAAGAAAACATAGAGTAGAAATTAGAAAAATTGAAAAATAAATTGAAGCACAATAGTATTAACTATACAAGGCAGGATAGACAGAACCAAGTACAAAATAATGACAGGAACAAGCAACCAGTGATTATTCTGGAAGAAAATGAAGCTTATAATGGTATTTTTTTACCTTATATTTTATATATTAAATACACAAGTTTCTTTACTTAATACCTTCTTAACTCATGAAATAGGTATCTATAATAAATAAAAGACATTAGTAACTTGGAATGTTTCAACATTATTTTTTCTATAAATTATAGAAATACTTCCAAAAGAAAATGCTATTTGATAATGCTTTGACAAAAGCATATTCTTTATAAAAGTTTTACATCTTTACATTTAAAGCAATCATAATTGATGAGTTATCTGAAAATGACATTAACACAGAAGATGAAATGGAACCTTAAGAGGTAGGTATATGTTTTACTTGAACAATTTTTTAAAATGAACTTATATTATGAGTGAGTTTTGGGTGTAGGATAATCTTCTAATATTCCTCATCATCTTGCGTATAGTCAGGAGAGTTACATGAGGGAGGTGAGGAGTAACATGAGGAGTGGCATGAGAGTGGTGAGGAGTAACATGAGGAGTGGCATGAGAGTGGTGAGGAGTAACATGAGGAATGGTATGAGACTGGTGAGGAGTAATATGAGAAGTTGCATGAGGGTGGTGAGGAGTAACATGAGGAGTGGCATGAGAGTGGTGAGGAGTAACATGAGGAATGGTATGAGACTGGTGAGGAGTAACATGAGGAGTGGCATGAGGTGGTGAGGAGTAACATGAGGAATGGCATGAGAGTGGTGAGGAGTAACATGAGGAATGGTATGAGACTGGTGAGGAGTAACATGGAGGAATGGATGAGGGTGGTGAGGAGTAACATGAGGAGTGGCATGAGAGTGGTGAAGGAGTAACATGAGGAAATGGCATGAGAGTGGTGAGGAGTAACATAAGGAGTGGCATGAGAGTGGTGAGGAGTAACATGAGCAGTGGCATAAGAGTGGTGAGGGTAACATGAGGAGTGGCATGAGGGTGGTGAGGAGTAACATGAGAGTGGCATGAGGGTGGTGAGGAGTGGCATGAGACTGTGTGAGGAGTAACATGAGGAGTGGCATGAGGGTGGTGAGGAGTAACATGAGGAGGATGTGGCAGGAGTAACATGAGGAATGGCATGAAGGAGGTGAAAAGTAACATGAGGAATGGTATGAGTAACTGGTGAGAGTAGTGAGGAGTAACATGAGGACTGGCATGAGACTGGTGAGGAGTAACATGAGGACTGGCATAGTGAGGAGTAACATGAGGACTGGCATATGAGACTGGTGAGGAGTAACATGAGGAGTGGCATGAGGTATGAGGAGTAACATGAAGTGAGAGTAACAGTGGTGAGGAGTAACATGAAGAATTGTATGAGACTGGTGAGGAGTAAATGAGGAGTGGCATAGAGTAGTGTGGAGTAACATGAGGAGTGCATGAGGATGGTGAGGAGTAACATGAAGGAATGGCATGAGAGTGGCATGTGGTGAGGAGTAACATGAGAATGGTATGAGACTGTGTGAGGAGTAACATGAGGAGTGGCATGAGGGTGGTCAGGAGTAACATGCATGAGATGATGAGGAGTAAATGAGGAATGGCATGAGAGTGGTGAGGAGTAACTTAGATTTGAGTAAAGTGGCATGAGGAGTGTGGCATGAGGATGGTGAGGAGTAAGTGAGGAATGGCATGAGACTGGTGAGGAGTAACATGAGGAGTGGCATGAGAGTAGTGAGGAGTAACATGAGGAGTGGCATTAGGATGGTGAGGAGTAACATGAGGAGTGGCATGAGAGTAGTGAGGAGTAACATGAGGAGTGGCATGAGAGTAGTGAGGAGTAACATGAGGAGTGGCATGAGGATGGTGAGGAGTAACATGAGGAGTGGCATGAGAGTAGTGAGGAGTAACATGAGGAGTGGCATGAGGATGGTGAGGAGTAACATGAGGAATGGTATGAGACTGGTGAGGAGTAACATGAGGAGTGGCATGAGGGTAGTGAGGAGTAACATGATGAATGGTATGAGACTGGTAAGGAGTAACATGAGGAGTGGCATGAGGGTGGTGAGGAGTAACATGAGGAGTGGCATGAGAGTAGTGAGGAGTAACATGAGGAGTGGCATGAGGGTAGTGAGGAGTAACATGAAGAATGGTATGAGGATGGTGAGGAGTTAACATGAGGGACGGTATGAGAGTGGTGAGGAGTAACATGAAGAATGGTATGAGAACTGGTGAGGAGTAAACATGAGGAGTGGCATGAGGGTAGTGAGGAGTAACATGATGAATGGTATGAGACTGGTAAGGAGTAACATGAGGAGTGGCATGAGGGTGGTGAGGAGTAACATGATGAATGGTATGAGACTGGTAAGGAGTAACATGAGGAGTGGCATGAGGGTAGTGAGGAGTAACATGAGGAGTGGCATGAGGGTGGTGAGGAGTAACATGAGGAATGGCATGAGGGTGGTGAGGAGTAACATGAGGAGTGGCATGAGACTGGTGAGGAGTAACATGAGGAATGGTATGAGAGTAGTGAGGAGTAACATGAGAAGTGTCATGAGGGTAGTGAGGAGTAACATGAGGAATGGCATGAGGGTAGTGAGGAGTAACATGAGAAGTGTCATGAGGGTAGTGTGGAGTAACATGAGAAGTGGCATGAGGGTAGTGAGGAGTAACATGAGGAATGGCATGAGGGAGGTGAGGAGTAACATGAGGAGTGGCATGAGAGACTGGTGAGGAGTAACATGAGGAATGGCATGAGGGTGGTGAGGAGTAACATGAGGAGTGGCATGAGGGTTGTGAGGAGTTACATGAGGAATGGCATGAGGGAGGTGAGGAGTAACATGAGGAGTGGCATAAAGGTGGTGAGGAGTAACATGAGGAGTGGCATGAGAGTGTTGAGGAGTAACATGAGGAGTGGCATGAGGGTTGTGAGGAGTAACATGAGGAATGGCATGAGGGAGGTGAGGAGTAACATAAGGAGTGGCATGAGAGTGGTGAGGAGTAACATGAAGAGTGGCATGAGGGTGGTGAGGAGTAACATGAGAAATGGCATGAAACTGGTGAGGAGTAACATGAGGAGTGGCATGAGGGTGGTGAGGAATAACATGAGGAGTTGCATGAGGGTGGTGAGGAGTAACATGAGGAGTGGCATGAGGATGGTGAGGAGTAACATGAGGAATGGAATGAGACTGGTGAGGAGTAACATGAGGAGTGGCATGAGGGTAGTGAGGAGTAACATGATGAATGGTATGAGACTGGTAAGGAGTAACATGAGGAGTGGCATGAGGGTGGTGAGGAGTAACATGAAGAGTGGCATGAGACTGGTGAGGAGTAACATGAGGAGTGGCATGAGGGTGGTGAGGAGTAACATGAGGAGTGGCATGAGAGTAGTGAGGAGTAACATGAGGAGTGGCATGAGGGTGGTGAGGAGTAACATGAGGAGTGGCATGAGAGTAGTGAGGAGTAACATGTGGAGTGGCATGAGGATGGTGAGGAGTAACATGGGGAATGGTATGAGACTGGTGAGGAGTAACATGAGGAGTGGCATGAGGTAGTGAGGAGTAACATGATGAATGGTATGAGACTGGTAAGGAGTAACATGAGGAGTGGCATGAGGGTGGTGAGGAGTAACATGATGAATGGTATGAGACTGGTAAGGAGTAACATGAGGAGTGGCATGAGGGTAGTGAGGAGTAACATGAGGAGTGGCATGAGGGTGGTGAGGAGTAACATGAGGAATGGCATGAGGGTGGTGAGGAGTAACATGAGGAGTGGCATGAGACTGGTGAGGAGTAACATGAGGAATGGTATGAGAGTAGTGAGGAGTAACATGAGAAGTGTCATGAGGGTAGTGAGGAGTAACATGAGGAGTGGCATGAGGGTAGTGAGGAGTAACATGAGGAGTGACATGAGTGTGGTGAGGAGTAACATGAGAAGTGGCATGAGGGTGGTGAGGAGTAACATGAGGAGTGGCATGAGGGTAGTGAGGAGTAACATGAGGAGTGGCATGAGGGTGGTGAGGAGTAACATGAGGAATGGCATGAGGGTAGTGAGGAGTAACATGAGAAGTGTCATGAGGGTAGTGAGGAGTAACATGAGAAGTGGCATGAGGGTAGTGAGGAGTAACATGAGGAATGGCATGAGGGAGGTGAGGAGTAACATGAGGAGTGGCATGAGACTGGTGAGGAGTAACATGAGGAATGGCATGAGGGTGGTGAGGAGTAACATGAGGAGTGGCATGAGGGTTGTGAGGAGTTACATGAGGAATGGCATGAGGGAGGTGAGGAGTAACATGAGGAGTGGCATAAAGGTGGTGAGGAGTAACATGAGGAGTGGCATGAGAGTGTTGAGGAGTAACATGAGGAGTGGCATGAGGGTTGTGAGGAGTAACATGAGGAATGGCATGAGGGAGGTGAGGAGTAACATAAGGAGTGGCATGAGAGTGGTGAGGAGTAACATGAAGAGTGGCATGAGGGTGGTGAGGAGTAACATGAGGAATGGCATGAAACTGGTGAGGAGTAACATGAGGAGTGGCATGAGGGTGGTGAGGAGTAACATGAGGAGTGGCATGAGGCTGGTGAGGAGTAACATGAGGAATGGTATGAGACTGGTGAGGAGTAACATGAGGAGTGGCATGAGGGTGGAGAGGAGTAACATGGGGAGTGGCATGAGGATGGTGAGGAGTAACGTGGAGAGGTGAGGAAGAAAGATGAGGGATGTGAGGAGTGGCATGAGGGTGGTGAGAAGTGAATACTGGCAAAGTAGTCGCTTAGAGTGAAAAGTGTTTGATATTATACCTAACCAACCAAAAAGTTACTGACTTTCAAATGTAGCAAATGTTGTTATTTAAAGTGAGGAGCAACAAAAGTAAAAATAGCAGACTTTTAAAAAAAAGGCAGACATATTTGAAAACGTGGCGAGGACAAGTAAAATTACTGGACGACCAAACAGTAAAACATCGCGATCTGAAATGTACTCACGAATGGTACTTCCAGTGGAACAGATGACCGCTATAGCTAAAAGTATGATGAGACGTCAAGCTAAACCTAAAGATGTGTCAATTATAGGTCAGAAAAAAAAATAAAACCTGCCATTGAAAAACGCAAACGTTTCAAATGTTGGTGACAAAAGCAGAAAGATTAAAAAGCCTAAACATGATCCGCCATCAAGCGATAGAAAGCATAAGGAGAACACGGGTGAAATCGACATCGCATCTATTGGACAAGTATTTAATTGAAGACTTCACCCACTCCTCCTCATTCTTGTTTAAAACTTTGAGGAGTGAAGACGATGTTTCAGTGCGATATTTGTTTGAAAACTTTTGGGAGAAAGGATAATATGTTACGTCATAAAATATCAGCGCATTCAAAAAAAGACCCGAATAAGGACATGATGTCAAACAAATAAAGAAACTTAAATTTACAATTTATAGGACATTTAATGTTTCCGATAATTTTAATATTTGTCATAATTCTGGAGTTGTTTAAACATATTTCTTTTTGGAATTAAGTTGTGATAAAAACGATTAAAGGCATAACTGTAATGGAAATAAACTTAGTCCACACCTTCGTTGATTTGATCACGTGAGAATGTAAGCCAATGAAAAAACATCGGTTTCCCTAATTACCGACAAGAACCGTCAGGAACCAACAAGAACCGACAAGAAGTAAAAATGGGAAAATACGAAATAATTTTACTTATTCATTATTTAATAATCACAATTCCTAATATTATGTTTCATGAAAAACATAATAAATTCGTTCTGAACCATGTTTATAGGCAAATAAGAAGTAATTTATTTTTATTAAAATTATGTTGTATTATAAATAATAATTACATTGTATTATGTTAAATTTATTCTAATTCAATTTATGAATATCATCATTAATGAATGACCTTATGAGAAGGTTCGCGGATACCGACAAGAAAGTTTCATTATTGCTAGCGATGGCGTAGGCTTTTTAAATGTGTTCAAATAATTTATTGTCAGCCTATATTCAATAAATAATTTTAAAACATTTCATTGCCATTGATTACAAAATATCCTGCATTTAGGCAATATTTTTGTACCGACAAGAAATGTGTTCATGTCTACCGACAAGTAAGTGTTTTCATGCCAGTACAGTACTATGGGCAAGTTTTAAAAAACATGTACAAACCGTGGCAATATTACGCCCGTGTGATAATTATGCGACACCGGCACTAACCGGGCCAGTATGATACTATTCGCCGGTCTCTCGTAAATTTCGGTTAAGATAGACCGGGAGAGACCGGAGACCCGAAGCGACAAGACCAGAGAATAGTGCATGCCTATATTTTGCTTGACCAACTATTTTGTAAAACTAAAGTTATAGCGTATATAACTTGCAACTCGAAGCGGAGCAAAAGTTTAATGAAGTTTTGTTGTTACGACGCAGTTCATATTGCTATATCTATCTTTTTTCCTTCAAATCACTCATATGCTCGTTTCAGAGTTCATCATAAACTACAAAATATAATTTTGCATCATTTACTAAAATTTCATTAAAAGAGATGTTTATTTTCCAAGAAAATTATGATTTGTACGAAATGATACGACGCAGTTGAAATTAAGATATAATACGACGCAGTTCTATTTTTTTGGCAGTCTTTTCAACGAGGATAATTTTGGCAATATATGTCTATTTCACGTAATAATCGCTTGCGCTAGATAAAAAAAGCAGATTATTCGCGGTTTATAGCAATGTTCTGTTTTTTTTATTATTTAGAATACATTGTGTGATGTCCAATATAACATTTAATTTGAATTTTTAAATTGCAGAAGTTACTTTTAACCATGAACATGTTACTTAATTTATCATAATATTTGAAATAATTGTTTATATTTTCTTGTATGTTCAATATTATTCCTTTTTTTGCAATTATATAGAAGTCTATGAACTTGAATCACAAACTTCATTTTGGCTAGCTACGCTCTTAGTAAAATGTGGTTCTGTATGTTATAGGTAATGATTGTTTTTTTGTTGTTTTATTTCAAACTTTCACTCGACCATTTAGCTTTACTTGGGGCGAGGACCTCAGGTGCGCCTTTGTGCATTAAGTCAGGAAAAATGTTTCACCTGCAGAAAACCATCGACATGTTGAAACTTGCTTGCTAGGTTTTCCACGCGAAAGAATCAAAAGTCCCTGGTGCTTTTCGAAATTCATAGCAGTTCAGTGCAAGTCAGTAAACATTAAGAGCTCGGCCTCGGTCGGACACGCTTTTCTTTTTTGTTTTTTTTTTTCAACAAAATTTGTTTTGATCTTAAATGTCAGCTTTACATATATGTAGGGTTTTTTAAAAATAAAATTCTACATGAAGTGTTAAGATTATAAACATTTGAATTAAATATAAAGACAATTACATTTAAATTCTTATTGAAATAAAATATTTTATCAATTTCTAAGATCACTTTTTACCTTGATATTTCGTTTAAAAAAGTATGTGTCAATGGTGCGAATAGCAGAGAAATATTCAATGTAAACATGAAGTCATTTTTTGAAATTTTTTGTTTTATGTGTCAGGCAATTCATTATCAAATAAAACTCGCACTTAAGTATGAAGGTATGTCTCTAGTCTTTTGAAAAATCGATGCGATAATCTGACCTAACTTTTCTCATCCCGGCTTTAAAGCTACATTAAATAAATATGTAAAATTATTTTGTCGTCGGCCTAAAAACCAAGCATTCTACAGTTTCATTAACCTTTTTGTGCCCCCACTTTAGTGGCGGGCATTTAGATTTACCCTTGTCCGTCCATCCGTCCGTCCGTACAAACCAGAGCTACATTATGGGGTTTGGTCTATTGTTCTCATAACAATAGATGTCTTTGATGTCATTCATTCCGTTTCTCTTGTGGGGTTATTTTCTGCATTGTGGGGTTAAAAAGAACAACAAAAGAAATAACAAAAGAAAACCCCATAATGTAGCTCTGGTAAGAATGTCCGTCCTTCCGTCCGTCCGTTCTCTTTGTGTCGCACGTAAAGTATTTGACCGAAAGTCATGAAACTTTACAGGAATGTTGATCAGCATGTGTAGTTGTGCACCTGGGTATTTTCGTCTTGTTACGAGCCAGGCGTAACGAGAAAGAAAAACCAGCAACAAACTTGTAACAATAACAAATTTATTACAGAAAAATTATTAAAGAAAAAGTAAAGAACAATTTATGTTTACAAATACCTGAAGTCCAAATAAAAATATAAATTTCAAATGTCTTAATAATACCTGATCCTGGAATGATCCCTTTTTGAATAGCACAGTTAAATCGAAGTTAAATCCAAGAACACTTTAGAATAAATTCCCACAATAAAATCCACAAGAATAATTTAAACTATTTTAAAAATAATCCAAGCTCCAATAAATCACTTAATATCCAAGTTGAATAATACTCCAAATATAATGGTTTCTTAAAAGGTAACTGATGACTTAAAAGATCACTGATGACTAAAAAAAAGGTAATACGAAAGAAAAATGTCTCCTATATATATATTAAGCTAAGAAGTTTCTAGAATAGTCTTCCATTTTCTACAGTAATCATAATCTAGCAACATTAACAATAAAGATCATTCCGGAAATTTCTATCTAAATCTAATGAGTTTTCTACAACAGTTAAGAAAGTTCTAGTACATACACGTAGTTTATTTTCTAAAAATAGAACAATGATAATATTGGAAATACCAACTGGTCAGATATAAATTATATACATGTAATATGTTGCATACATAACA